ATGTTCGTGATGCGGTTCTACTCCTCGAAATGCAGAATGTCGCTTCAGTTTTGGCTGGCATCGGCTCTTGAAAGTGATAAGGAGTGTAGTTGAGTTTGTTGACGGTTCCAATTATCTCGGAGGCTCCATCAGTGTTGATGTCTTGGTGCCTAATATGTACCGCTCGATTGGCTTTTGCCAACTTGCGTCACTTATGGCGTCGGCGAGATATCTGTCTGCTAAACAAAGGATTAGTCTACATGCGTAGCAGTTCACTTTGTCCTAGATTACGAGTAAGAATAGAGGATATCTGTAGGCTACTATTATTCGTTATCGGTTTTTCACGTACAGCCTTACGTTAAGAAGGATACCATTTCACTGACATAAGTTATGAAAAACTCAGCAAGATTACACCATTAAAACATAGTGAACATGTGTACTTTCAGAGAAGTCACCAAAACAAAATTTTTCTCTTTTGGATAGTTTATTCTGTAAATGTGCGATCACAAAAAAGGCTTAAAAATGCATTGAAGTACACGTATGTTAATAAGTATGTAAGGATACATCAGGTCACATTGACAAGCATAGCAAGAGATCTATTGTTGTGGGCATTCTTGTTTTTCTCCAGTGTTTTGATTAGATTTCGGTCGATTTGGGGCACGATGATGCCGTCCGCGACATGAATGTAGCTGAAAAAATTAATCGAATTGTAGTAAATCTCGAACAGGATATAGTTTATCTATCAAAACTTGCTTCATAAATTATCGCTTTTGGGACTAGTTTAAGCCCGTGTATTTGCTTCAATCAATACAGCATTTACTAGTGGATCGTAGAGCGTTGAATCCCTTAGCTGTGTGAGGTACTGCATCTAAAATGTGACCATGCTTTAAACCAAACTGCAGTCAATGTTGAAATGAACACATGGTTAGAGGGCACGTACTGCACTAGGCACGCAAAGGTGATCGGTTAGTATGGTACTCAGAACTGATTATCCAACATTATCCAAACACTCATTAATAGTAATGAAAATTATGCAAACAACAGAGACACGAACGATATAGACCGGGAAGAGAATAAAGCTATTCAATCACAGCATCAGTTGATAATTGATCAATAGAATACGTTGACTGCGTGATTTGTTACCAATTTATTCACTTCTTGACCTCATTTTATAGTTAATGACACAGACCTCAACAACTTTACAACAGAAATCTTAATGATCGAAAATAAATAGCGTTTGTTTGTGACCGAATCGATTATATTTGGACGTGACTGAAACGCTATTTTTACTGAGTCAAGTTAAATTTTCATTTATAAAGTGGAGTTAAAACAGTCAGAATCTAAAGATACAAAGAATAAGTCTTCGGTTCTCCCGAATACCTGTTAAATTTCAACTAGGAGATTCGGTTGCACATACCATAATTGAACATTAGACTAGTTCAAAACTAATTGGAAAACACTAATCAAAGATTATGATGATAAATTACATCAAGATGACAAACTTACATGAGAGTTCTCTTTTTCATGCTGAAAGGTAATTAATGAAAAACGAACTAGATAATATATGAATTTCTAAAGTAGTGATGAAGTGGTGGGTGTAAAAGTTAGCAATCTGTACATACACTGGGTCATTAATTATCGAGTAAAAGTAGCACACTAACTTGAAGATATATGTTAGAAGGTTGAGATGAATGATTAATACAGTGAGATATTGAAGTGACTTACTTCTTCATCCTTATCGTCTTCATCTTCATCACTTAAATCTTCATCATCTAAGTCGTCATCATCATCATCGTCCTCATCATCATCATCAAACTATCGAATTATTTTATGCTATAATAAATTACCTCGGAATCAACTGCCTCACCAGTGAAGTAGAGTACAGCTTTCGGAATAACACTTTCCCTTAAAAACTGACCAAGCTTGAAGTCAGACTCTAAAAGCATTTCGGTATCTTCATCCTGGAAAAATTACTACAAACCACATAAAACTCACCAAGTCATCGGAAAGAGCTAAAATACACATTATACAGTTAAATTGACGTACTTTCTGCAGGAGGATCGAAGAAATTGAAAAAAGAGTCTTCCCGAACACTTTTTGTTACCGTTCTTTTAGCACCTCCACTTTTGCGTTTTTGAACCTTCTTAACAAGTTTTACAGTTACATTTTTTCCTGGATTCCAGTTAATAACACAACTGACATATACGGGAGGAATTTGTGATAATTACCCTTTAGCGCGAACAATTTCCGGCCCTTCGTATCCAAAAGGATCTTCATTAGGTATGTCGTAGTTGAAATAATATCTTTTAGTCAATACGCTATTAGTGAAGTATTTATTTGGTGAGAAGTAAAATTCCAATGTAAATCCCTGGGGAGTTCATAACTATATATCAACTTACTGACTCTTCGCCGGTATTTAGGACACATTTGAGGTCTGTTAAGTGCTTGAGAATATCACGATCATGATCTTGTACCATTTCCTCAAATAACGATATGTTTTCCAGAGTTTTCAGCCAGAAGTCTGGTACACCTTTAACTTCGCTCAGGGAATCTAGAAAAAGTTACTTAGAATAGCCATAGCTACCTTTATTGCTATTATTAATATCTTTGGTGACATTGGCTGTGCTTTTTAATTTTTCTGATAAATTGTCTAAGCATAAATCGTCATCGTCGGTAGGCCAATCGCAATCCTCGTCCGCGGGTTCGATGTCACCTGAAACAATATCTCGCCGCTATACGAAATATGATGGACAATGACGGCTTACTTTCGAGAATATTTGCTGGTGCTGTACATCATACTTAGCTTCCAGTGCAAAAAGCTCTTTATAGAAGTCGGCATCGATTTTCAGGGTTTCATACTGCAGTTTTTTAAGTGCCCGAACCCGCCGTTTAACCGGAGCAGGTAGACTGATCAATATAGAACATAAACTGAACTCACAGGTGGTATTCATGCAAAGCACTTAGTTTAGGATTTTCACACTTTGAATCATGAAGCTCTCCGGAGTCTGAAAACTCACCACCTGGTTGAGTTAACTTCCACAGGTTTAATGTTTGACACTTACCTTCCTTCGAACTTCTACAATAAAAACATGGTGAAACAACACACAACGAACCCTTTGCTACTATCCATGTCGTGTTACCGGCGTGCTTCGACAGGCTACGAAATCACCGCGTGACTGACCTAACTAATGTCATTCAATCTTCAATAAAGGACACAAGCAGATCTCTATTCTAAAGTCTGTTTGAAGAATCGCCAAGTTAGTATGATTACAGTACATAACTACTATTTCTCATTATCCCTATACCTTAACTAATTTTATTTACAGCTAAATTCCAAAGTGATAGAAACCGAAAGCTACTTAAGAAGGACAAATGTATATTTTTCCTTGCCAAGTTAAATTTATATTTCTGATCTCTACTACACATCGAAATTACTCTTTTTCAATGCAGTTGAATTAACTACACTTAAAGTAATATAACTCATTTCCCAAGAGTAATTATTGCATCTGTGCCGCATGTTTGGACTTAAAAGTCCGCAGTCAACTTATATCTAGTCATCATTATTTGTTTCTTCAGTTCCATTCTGTATTGTATTTTTATGACTTACTAGCGTGCGAACAGTACGTCCGAGCGCTTAGGCAGTCTATATCTTATTGAAAGTGGCCTGCAGTGGTCTGCTGCCTGGTACCGAGAAGTTCGCACAAATTTGATTCCTTTATCTTACAAACAGTTCAGTCAAAGGGAATTGTCTGGTTATTCCATCACTGCTACTCGAATACAAATAGCTTGCTATCCGACGCGATCCATGAAAAAAGTGAACACAGCTAAGGGGCATATTAGCAAGCGACATCGAGATAGTCTATGCTATGCCCACTCTACCGACAGGCAGATTTAGAAACATCTTATCCAAGCCCGACACTGAGTCGCTTAAATGAACCAAGGGACGAAAAACCGACCCCAAGCAGGCCCATCAGGAACACAGTCCCAATAAGGTAGGTTTCTTTAGTACCCCGTCCCGTAAATGGCGGCACCCAGGAACTACGATGGAAATCTGATCGTAAGTCCCGATCTATCTCTGGCATTCTGACCACTCAGGTGACCTCAACTCACCGACGACCTCTCAGTGTGCGCAACGCAACGCCATTTCGCGAGAAAATTTCACTGAGGAGCTGTATTGTCTTAGATATGGTAGGCGGCACTACGGGCTTGATTTCTGGCCATTTTGAGAAGGTGTCGACCACAACTAAATACACAGTTCCATTTATTGGACCAGTGAATTCAACGTGTATCCTGGACCATGGATGATCAGGTTTGGGCCATGAAACTTTGGCATTCATCCTTGACGCCTGCTGACACCGCATACATTTTTTAACTAACGCTGTGACATGTTGATCCATGATAGGCCAGTAGGCATAACTCCTGGCTATAGACTTCATTCGTTTAACCCCTGGATGATTGAGATGGAACTGTCTCAGAACTTTTGCACGAAAGGATTCTGGCACCACTACTCTTTCACCAAACATCAAACAGTTGTTCACGATGCATAGTGAATCCCGCCGCTGATACAGTTGCTTCATGTCACCTTCAAACTTCTTCGACGACCAACCGTTAGTGGCATTTCATCGTCATCTTGATGACGAAGTCGTTTCTAGGAGCATTTTGTATGTCTGTTGCAGATTTAGAATCTACTTTGAAGGCTTTGTTTTGGAAAATCCCTCCATGTAAATATATTTGTGTTATGATCTGACTGACTCTTTGTGTCCAATATTTCGGTACTCTATTTGATCCCATTTCGGGATTTTATCATTTGTATCTTGTTATTATTTCTATATCTGTAGTGAAGGAGAACAAAGATGAGGGCAACCGGACTATATTTAATGAAAATTACAGAGTTACTCAGTAAAATAGGAAAACCATATCGTAACCATTAATTTGCAAATCTTCAATCCATCATCAATCCATTGTCTGATAGTTCACTATTCATGCGTTTCATACAAATTCCATTGTGTTCCCACTCTTCCTTTCTTGATCTTCCCCCATGTTCTGCTGCCAGACATTATGTATACACTCGCGTCATTTACTACTTATAAGTAGCGCGCACCACATATCTTGTACATACACTGAAGTTTCTGTTTCCTTATGAACTATATAAGTGTTGTTTAAAACTGGTACTTAATATGGCTACAGCCATTTTCGGATTTGATACCCTAGCAGCAGCTCGTTGCATCTAACTGGCAGCACTAATTCTTCCAGTATCGGAACTTATTGTTGTGATTAGAAACTCGGTGTAATATTGTTTTGGTAATTGTCTATACTTCCCTTTTAGATTAAAAATAGAACCGTTCTTTCCCAGAATTTTTATTTTTGGACTTGGACTGGGCGAGACGCGTGTGAACCTACACCTTTCGGTTTCAGAGCTCACTGCGAGAGTAATAAATATTTCTACAGCAGACACCGATAATGCGCGAATCGCGGTTGTCAGATATCATTCTGCGTGGTCTTCCATCGACAGATATGCGATTACCATGTTTTCATCAGCCGCTTCTTGATCATTACAATTTAGTCAAGCAGACGCTTTGTCACGACTCATTTGAGTGCGTTGATATTGGATTTCGAAATCATACCCCAAAAGCATCAAGGCCCGTCGCTGAAGACGATTTGCAGAGTGGGTTGAAATATCAGATTTAGAGCCGAATACTGCTAACAGAGGCTTGTGATCCGTGAGGAGCGTGAATCTCCGACCGTACAGAAACTTGTGGAAACGGCGAACAGCAAATACAAGGGCAAGAGCCTCTTTCTCTATCTGGCTGTACTTCTTTTCTGATGGGGTTAGTGTACGGCATGAATGCATAACGGCTTTTTCTGACGCGTCTGGAAACTGGTGTGAGATAACAGCACCTAGGCCATATGCTGAAGCTTTGGGAAAAACTTTCCTCCATTCAGCAGAGGATAATGATGCTTTTCCAGAGCTGCGTTCAGACCTGTAGAAAACTGAGCACATATACGTATCTTGCCGTTGGCCTTCTTAATAACGATTATAGGTGCTGCCCAGCCAGAGTAAGAAACGGGAGTAATAACCTCTTGTTGTTGAAGGCGATTCAGTTTTTCGTCTGCAGTTTCTAATGCTGCATAAGGCACGGGTCTCTTTGGATTGAAGGCAGGCTTTGCCCTAGGTTTCAACCGAAGTGTTGCTTTCATGGCAGTGCACCGATCTAATCCAGGTTGAAAAATGGTTGAGAACTGCGTTATTAGATTCCTCGTATATGCTTCCGGGTCATGTGGTCGTGATACCTGGTTGCATATGGTATTTGATGGAAAATCAGCCAATTTAGCTTAGCTGGCGTTATATAACATACCCCAATAAATGACGAGTCTCGGAAGGCAACATTACATTCCAACTGTTCCAACAGACGAAGGTAATTACCACATGATGTACGAGGCTTTTGTGTTGTGCGCTGCAGGCTTGGGCTAACCAATTTGGTCCAGTTTTCGCGTGAGAGGATAGTGACATCAGTTGCGGTATCTATTTGCAATCTACACAAATGCCCGTTAATATTAAGAGTGACAAATTTCTTCTCACCTGGTGATGAGATTTGGCAGGAAGATATTAGGCTCAATGAATTGGTACTGGATCTAGGAACAGGCTTCTTAGCACTTCTGGATCGGTTCGGCTTCTTCTTTAGGCAAAACCAATCTTTAGGACCGATGACCTTACACTTCCTGCATCGATGTTGCCTAAATGGGCAGTTCCGTACTATGATGATTAGAAGTATGTGAATCAAGAACTACGAGATAAGCACGAACGAATGTACTGTAATTAGAATTCGAAATCTAGCATTCAACAACAGCAAGAAGTCACTAGTTCATTCAAACACCACACGTACATAGTGCCATTAGCCGCAGTACCAGCAAGCAGCAGGGGGATTCATTTTTAGGCAGAGCTGGAGTGGGATGAACTGGGTGTAGCATGGGTAGACTTATTCTGATTACGTGGCTGCTGTACCAAATGTACTTCAGATCGGCTTGAACTACCACTCTGAACTATAGTTGAGTCTCGTTGTAGTTTAGTGAGACGTTGGTACTCATTAGTCATGTCATTAAGCGTAAGCTTCGGATCTTGCTCCAACCGACATAGTAGCTTTGTTCTAATGTCACTGAACTTATGAGGCTGGAGGCTGCAGATGAGTATAAAGGCTTTAAACTGATCTTCCGACAAAGACTTCAACCGAAAGCGTTCGCATTCACGGTTGACGATGCTCACGTGCCTAAGAAAATCATCATCTTCGTTCATAATTAGCTTCAAACATCGATAACGAGTATTAAATAGTGACGAGTTTTCGCCAAAGTTTTGGCTCAATGTCTGAAATGTCTCAGAAAATGAACGATCTCGCGGGTTCAAAGGCAGGATCAAACTGCAGTACTTGTCCAGCTCACTTGTACTCAACTTTCGAAGTAGCAGCCGAACCTTCCAAGCATCATCTTGATTGGACAAATCAAATTTAAATAAATCTTCATAACGCCGAAACCACATATCAAAAGTAACATTGGCATCAGGATCATAATGAAATTCAGCTATGCTATTTGCGATGCCGTCAACCGATGGAACTGTGGTTGCATTAGATGAGCTGGGCTGCGTGGAAGGGGAAATCTTCATGTCTGTCAACATCGGCATCAGTTTCATCTGCTGCTCAAGTAATAATTCAAGTTTGGCAGGATCCATGTTTCCGAAACTACCGTCGCCACTTGTTAGGTTCGTCACTAGGTACGCTTGAAGCTATTACAAGTTCACCTTAGTCGATAAATGAGAACGAGACAATTACCAGAGTCCAGGTAGGCTACCTTGATCCCAAAACTGCGAAAGAAAAGTCTTGATAAGGGTAGAAAGTATATTCTACAACACCCAGCAATCACAGTACAATCAAGCACACAACTCTTGTTTATTTATACATCATATAAACTTCCTTGGGACAGTTAAGAAAATAGCTCACTAAAATACACAGCAGCCAATCACAGCCAAGGA